TTGTGTTTTCTCATTTTTCTTTGTCAGTTTCCCTGGAGCTTGGTCAATTTTTTGTTCTTTAAATGAACTGGCTCTTTGTTTTGTTGATACTGTACTCCTATTCTTCAGTTTCCTTGATTTCTCGTTTCCTTCCTTCTGCTTTGATTTACTTTGCTCTTTTTTATGTAAGTCATTTTCATATCACTGGAACAAAATAATTGACATCTGCAATTTAAAGAAGGAGAGGTGTACTTTGAATCATGGCTTAAGAGGGTTCAGTTTATGGTATACTGGTTGCAAGGAAGAAGCAGCAGAGTGGAAGAGCCTTGCAGGGGAAAGACGTTCGCCTCATAGCAACTGAAGTCAGAGAGAGATAGAAAGGCCAGAGTAAGAGATACACGCTCCCAAGGCATGCCCCCAGTGACCAGTCATCTCCAGCGGGGTTGCACTGTCAGCTATGAACTTATCAATGGATTAATCAACTGATGGGTATAGCGCCCCTATGATATGATCATCTTCTGAAAGCCCCACCTCTGAACATACGAAACTTTCGGGGAAACCTTTTGAATCTTAAACCATAACATTTTTTTTCTGGATTCTTTATGTGAGACCCTGGCCTGACAAGAATTTTCTTCTTTTCTAATACATACATTTTAATGTTGTAAGTTCCGTCAATGTTTTATCTGTGTTCCACAGAAATAAATTTGTTATGATTTGTTTTATAGTCCAGGATATGCCCTATCTTGTTATATATTCCGTAGTATTTAAAAATAATATGTACTCCAGGGGCTGGGGATTTAGCTCAGCGGCACAGCTCCTGCCTGGCAAGCGCAAGGTTGTGAGTTTGATTCCCGGTACCTGGAAAAAAAAAATACGTACTCTGTTGTTGAGGGAAGTGTTCTTCCTACAAATACTGATTTGATCTTACTGATCCATGTGATGGTGTTAAGTTCTCTAACCTTCTGAATTTCTGTTGGTTTGTTCTGTCAGTTTTTGAGAAAGGGATATTTAAGTCACCATATATTGTGAATTTTTCTATTTTCCTTTCTGTTTGTTTATTTGTTTGTTTTTGAGACAAGGTCTTGCTTTGTAATTCAGGTTGGCTTTAAACTCACTTTGTAGCCCAGCCTTGCTTTGCCTCAAACTCATGGCAGTCCTCCTTCCTCAGCCTCCTGAGTGCTGAGATTACAGGCATGCACTACCATGCCTGGCTCTGTTTTTCCTTTTAGTCCTATCTGGTTTTGTTATGTGTATTTCTTGTTATTTGGTGCAAATACTTCCTCTACATGTATTTTGTTCAGGGGTCGGGGGGTTGGTTTTGTTTTTTTAAGACAGGGCCTTGCTCTGTAATTCAGCCTGGCCTTGAACTCTCTGTATCCCAGGTGATTCTCCTGTCTCAGCCTCCTGAGTGCTGAAATTAGAAGTGTGAACCACCACACCTGGCACAACATGTACTTTTGAACCATGTCATAAACTGTACTTCAGCCATCAAAAATAATTTAGAAAACTTGAGAATGAAAATCCATTGCATTTACCTACATTTTCACTTAACTGTTGTCTTTCTCTCAGATGTTCTAAGATACTTTATCATTTTATTTTGTTTAGCTAAAGGGAGCTTCCTTTGCCACTGTTTTAGAGTAAGTCTGCTGGTGACAAGGAATATTAATTTTCTTTTATTTGAGAATGTCTTGGCTTTCCCTTCATTTCTGAAGACTATTTTCTCTGCACATAGGATTATGGATTGGCAGCTTTTTTTTTTTTTTTTCTTATTTTAGCCCTTGAAAAATGTGCCACATTCTTCTGACGCTCTCCTAGTTGTCTCTGTCTCCTCTCTAATAAGCAGTAGATATTTATTATGAATCAGTTTCATTTTGTGGAGACTTCTTACCTAAGTTTACTAACGTCTCCGGTACAGAGTGGTTGTCCTTTCCTAGTGCACAGCCTCAATCTTGAGATCTTTCTTCATAGCTATCCTTAGAAGCCCCTTCCTATTTCTTCTGTTGGGTCTCCAGTTCTTACTTAATAGTACTTTCCCTTTTTTTAGTGGCATACTGGGAAGAAATTTTTTTGAACTTCAAATTTCTGCCTATATCCTTCTACCCTCACATCTGATTGATAATTTGACTAGATAAAACTTTTAAGCTGACTGAGTTTTTTGTTTTGTTCTTTGCTTTGTTTTTTGAGACAGGGTCTTGCCATGTAGTTCTGGCTGGCCTTAAATTTGCTATATAGCCATGGCCTCAAACTCATGGGGATCTTCCTGCCTCAGCCTACCAAGTACTGAGATTACAAGCCTGTGCCACCATGCCTGGCCAGTTGACTGAGATTTTTTTTTTTTTTTTTTTTTTTTTGGTGTTTTTGAGACAGGGTTTTGCTACACAGTTCAGGCTGGCCTTGAGCTCACTTTGTAGCCCAGGCTGGTCTCAAACTTGCAACAATCCTCCTACCTCAGCCTCCCAAGTGCTGGGATTATAGGCAGGCACCACCACGCCCAGCCAGTTGACTGAGAGTTTGAAGGATTGCTTTATATCGTTATCATTTGTATAACGCCAGATTTGGATCTTAAGGCTTATTGTCTATTTTATTTGTATATTTTCTTCTCTAGCTTTTTCTAGTGCTCTAAAATTTAACAATAATATGCCTTGTAGGTCTATTTTTATCCTTTACTGTGGCCAATAGTGTATTCTTCCCATCTGGAAATTCATGTCCTTCAACCTTGCATGGTTTTCTTAGATTTTGTCTTCAACTTCTCTTTGCTTTCTATGTATTCTTTCTCAGATTCCTTTTTATGAACATTGGTCCCTCTAAGCCAGTCTTCGATTTTTTACCTTTTTTTCTCCCCTATATTCTGAGCAATATTCTCGACTTTCTCTTCCAATTTGTTTTTCTTCTAACTTAGTTATGTCCTATTTTTAATTTCCAACAATTTCAGGGGGTCTCATTTCTGTGTTATAGTTTGATTTTTCTCTCTTCAGGGTTTTTTAAAAACTCATTTGTCAGGGTAAATTTAGCTTTAATAATAATTCACGCTTCTTTAGTGCTTAGTTTTGTAAGTTTTGGCAAGTAACCACCATCATAATTAAGATAGGATAGTTCTTTGGGAATTTTGACCACAATAATGTTAATATTTTTAGGGGTTGTGTGTGTAAGGGGAGGGTTTCTCCTGTGGAGATAGTAAGAGTTCTGAAAAAAGTATCTAGGAAAAAAGATTGAAAGCCTTTGTAAGTGATAGAAAGAAGATAAGAGAACTCAGAATTTAGCATGTAAACTTTTACTTAATCCCCATTTTAGAATATCCTCATATCCTCATTTATACCTACTGTTTCGGAAGCCAATAGACTCTTAACTTATATTTTCCATAGAATAAAACTCCAATCTTTCACTGGAATAGGGAAGAGGATCTTAACTGTGTCTTCAATGGGTAGTGAATAACTTGTTTTTAGGATTACTTTTGTCTTTTCTTTTTGAGTCTTTGGTATTGCCGGTTCCTATACTGTTTGAGGATTCTGCTTTTTACCTTTCCTCATTGCTGATTTAGGATTTGGCTTTCTCAAATCTATTAAGTCAGTTATCACTTTTGCTTTGAAATTTCAAAAATGTTACTATCATCTCCTCTTTCTCTGCATGGATTGTATGCCTCTAAAAATCCTTCACTATCACTTTAATGGACTTTGAGGGAAGAATAATAGTAATTGTGCATGTTCAGTCCATTATCTTTAACTGAAAACTCTTTTTTTCTTCAGTGCTTACATTGTGGCATTGTGGACAAGACCTTTTGTGATCTAGTTTCTGCCTGTGCTCTAGCCTCATTTCCTACTCTACTACAGCTGGCTCCCAGCCTAAGCTCCAGCCGTATGTCTCTACTTAAGAGATTTCCAAACTGTGCTGCCTCTTCTGCACATGCTGTTTGTCCTTTAAGACTCAGTTAAGCTTTGCTGATTGTCTGAGTGGTCCTTGGTCAGAGTGCTTATGGTATTATTGGAATTACCTGTTTACTTTTAAAAACTTCTCATCCTAGAGGACTTTAACTTAGGGGTATAGGTGGAAGGGATGCCTATGAGTTAACTGCAGGAAATCTTACAATTCTCTAAATTTTTTCATAGTTTTACATCCTGTGTATATTTTTGGGGAATGTGGAATGTGCATCAGAAATACCTGTGGAGACTTTTTTTAATGTACTTGGTTTGGGTTCTACCTCACAGATACACTGAATAGTCTCTAAACTTGGATCTCATTAAAATGCATTTTCAAACTTCCTAAATGATTCTTTAGGAACTCTGAATATCATCTACATTAACTCCAGGACCTCATATATAGCAGATACTTTTTAGTGTATAAAAAAAGAATGAGGGAGGAATCTGTGTTCAAAATGTGATCTGAAATAATTTTTCTCTTGAAACCAGAGTCCAAGTGAGAAGTGACTGATTTCCTCTGTATATAATAGAAAGTCACAGCATCTATTTCCACCAGTATTTCTGCCTTTAGATATTACTAGGAAAAGGGAGTGAATAGATTTTTTTCCCCAAAAGAAGAGGACAGCTTTGGACAGTTAGCTGTAAAAATAAAAGAAAAATTTAAAGGTCAGCTTTAGGATTAGTCAGATGTGTATAGTCTGATTTTAGTTTCTCTGGTCACTTAGGGTTTTTGTTTTGTTTTGTTTTCTTTAACGCAGTCATGTTCCAAAATTTTTAGGCTTCTGTGTTACTCTATAGACCTGATTTATGCTTTTATTAAAATGGCTAATAATGTAGAAAATGGGGAGATTGATGTGTTAACTTTGGCAGAAACATACAACATTATGGTAACTGTTGTGACCAAAGAATAAGAACATAATTTCTGTAATACCCTGCCTCATGCTTCCACTGAGGTTAAGATTTTTATGATGTGTAAAATACACTTGTATTGTCTACTTTACTGATAAGCCTCTTTTATACAGAGTGGAGCTTTTGATGCATGTTTATATATGTGTTAAAGAAATGATCAGATTCTTTTGCTTTTTGTATTTTCCACTTTTTTTTTAGGTAGTTAAAGAGATTATGGCATCTGAAAACCACAATGTTAAAAAACGGAACTTTAGTAATAATATTGAGGATCATTCCACTGATCTTCCTAGAAAAAGGATATCTAATTTCACTGATAAGAACATGAAGGAGGTAAGTTCATGGTTTCTAGGTGATGGATAAGATAATTTGAACCAACAGGTCTATTTATAGTTGTAGTTAAATTGTTTGAACACTGAGAAGGCAGTAAATCTGCTTAGTCTCTTAGAATTAAATATAATTTATGAAATGTAATCATTATACTTCTAAAACTCTAAAGCCTTTTTGGCAAGTATACTGTTTTGATGTGCTAGAATTTGAATATTTTAGTTTAAGATGAAGCTCAGAGATATTTTTTGTTTACCATTGCAAGATTCGTTAGCACTGATACAATTTCTCTTAAACTAACTCACCTATTATGAACCCTATAATATGTGACTAGGGGTGTGAAAAATAGGGAGATGGTATGTTGCTTTGCTAAAAATGCCTACACACAGTGTTGTGCTTAATGACTGAGATCATGGCATTAGGATAGAGAAAACTTTCATCTGAAAAACATACTTATTAAATTTTAAATTTATTGACATCAATCATAAAGTTTCCATAACTCTTTAATGAACTTAATACTACAACTGTTTACTTTCATTATTTAGGTTAAGAAATCTCCAAAACAGTTGGCTGCTTACATAAATAGGTAAGACTTTCTCTCCTGCAAGTGTATAGGAGTTTTCTAGAGGTAGCATAACATTTGATATCATAAGAGACTAAATTCAGAAGCAGAAATGAGAAACTAGGTGTTTTCTGTTAAACCAAGTATTAGATATTTGCAAAAATTAAGATTAAATTTAAAATCTCATTTTTTATTGTTAAGGAAAATGCTTTTTAGGTGGTAAAATATGATAGTATGTATGTTAGTCCACTTTTCATCATTGTGACAAAATACCTAAGAAGAACAACTTACAAAGAGGGAAGTTTATTTTGGCTCGTGGTTTCAGCGATTTCAATCTGTGATCCCTTGCGCTCTTGCCTTTGGGCCTGAGGAGAGGCAGTACAGCGTGGTAGAGAGCATATGAAAAGGGAAACTGGTGATCTCAAGGCTATTGGGAAAAGAAGATGAAACTAGGGGCTAGGGCTAGTTAGCCCCTTTGAGAGTGCATTCCAGTAACTTAATTTCCTTTAATTAGGCCCCACTGCTAAAGGTTCTACCTCCCAGTAGTGTCATGGGCTGACTGACAAGCCTTTTACAGATGGCTTCCTTAGGACATTTCAGATTCAAATTAGAACAACATTTTATGAATCTGTTATTTTTAAAATGAATTAACCAATGTTTTAAAATGTTCTCTGCTTTAGTTTCTGATACAGAAATATCATTAGATATTACCCACAAAAAATTGAGTTCTCAAAATTTTGAAGAATGTAAAGAAAGCATCCTGACACCAAAACATTTGAAAATCATTGTATTCTATGAGATTTGCTGTTTTGTTCTCTCACATTTAAAAATACTTTAGCATAATCACAATAAACTTTAAAATATTGGAGTTTGCAGTTCATTACTTTGTTAAAAAAAAGTTAGATGTCTCAGATTTGAAATTTTCTTACTTTTGTAACAGCCTTTAATATTTCATTTTAGAGGCATTTAGTCTCTGGGCGTGGTGGTGCACGTTTGTAATCCCAGCACTCAGGAGGCTGAGGCAGGAAGATTGTAACAAGTTCAAGACCAGCCTGGGCTACAAAGTGAGCTCAAGGCCAGCCTGAACTGTGTAGCGAGATCCTCTCTCAAAAAGAAAAAAAAAAAAGAAAAAAAAAAAAACCCTAAAGACATTTAGTCATGTTTTTCTTCATTTTGATTTGGCATAAAGTGTCATCCTTGTCATTGACTTCTAGATAATTTGTAATTGTTATTTTCCTTGAGAGTTAACTTTTTTAAATTAAATTTATTTGTATATCTTAGATATACATAATGATAGCATTTGTCCTGTGAAAGTTGTACCTGTACCTCATACATCTTGATTCTCTTTTTTCCCAATTCCCCTACCCTCCCTTCAGTCCCTCTTCTGCTCTGTTTACAAAAGCGTTATTTCCATTTTTTCCTTCTTTACTAATTTTTTTCCCTTCCTTTACCCCATCCCCTCCCTAGTTGTCTTGCTCCCCTTTGCATTTGAACATTTTCTTCCCATTTCACAGTATCTGTTATACATTTTGGTCCTTACTTACACTTTCAGTTTCTCATGCCAGAGAAACAATGTCATAGTCACACATGTGTGTCTGATTTATTTCACTTAAGAATATGGCCTCAAGGTACATCCAGGCATCCAGAAATGTCTCCAAGTTTATCCTTCTTTATGACTGAGTAGTACTTCATTGTAGAAAAAAAAACCACACACACATCTTTTTAATCCATTCCTCGGTTGATGGGCATTTGGGCTGTTTCCAAGATTTAGGTATTAAAATCGTGCTGCTATAAACATGGGTGTGCATATATCATTGTGGTAGGATGCTTTTAATTCTTTCAGGAAGATACTAAAAAGAGGAATAGCTAGGTTGAGTGGAACCTGTAGTTTTAGTTTTTTGAGGAGCCTCCAGACTGCTTTCCACAGTGGTTGCACCAGTCTACACTCCCACCAATGGTGGAGGATGGATTCTTTTTCCCCTTGACATCCCTGCCAGCTTTTGTTATTGGCTGATTTCATAACAGCAGCCATTCTTTCTGGAGTGACGTAACATCTCAGTGTTGTTTTAATTTGCATCTCAAGAGTTAACATTTTATTATTCTACTACTTTTAGTGGATTACAATCATAAAATTTGGCCTATTAAATCTCTATTTAAAAACTTTTAAAGGTTTTTTTTCTTTCACTTAAGAAAATAAATTCTTTTTACAGAACAGTTGGACAAGCTGTGAAAAGCCCAGACATACTACATAAGGTGATCTATCGCAGAAAGAAAGTTCATCATCCCTTTCCAAATCCTTGTTACAGCAAAAAACAGTCCCCTAGAAGTGGGGGCTGTGACATGGCAAATAAAGAAAATGAACTGGCTTGTGCAGGCCGCTTGCCTGAACAATTTCCCCACGACAGTCGGACGTACGTGACTAACTCCAGTGACTCTGGTTCTTCTCAGACAGAAAGCCCATCATCAAAATACAGTGGGTTTTTCTCTGAGGTAAGTTATTTTCTTAAGTCATTTTTAGCTTAACTTTATTTCTGTAGGCCAGATGTGGTGGCGCATGCCTGTAACACCAGCTCTCGGAGGCTGAGACAGGAGGATCATTGCAGGTTTGAGGCCAGCCTGGGGTACAAAGTGAACTCAAAGCCAGCTTGAACTGCATAGTGAATCCTTGTCTCAAGAAGACACCCCCCCCCCGAAAAAAACACTTTGTTTCTGTTATGCTATTATTCTTTTCTTTGCCTTATTCTAACAGAGTCATCACCCGTTGAATACACTTGAGTGATAATAACTTCTTGGAAACAGAACCAAATTTGAGTCAGTAATTGATCTCATTTCTCTTAAGTTAGCAATATCTTAGGATGGAATGAAATGCTGACAGTCTGCTATAAACACCCACAGTGACGGTTTGGCCGGTAGAGATTAAAATGAAATTCTAGAAAAGGAGAAATCTCACCTATCAGGAGGATCACTAAAAGAGTTTGCGTTTTTCAGGCAAACCCACTAGCTGCTCTAGTTTAGTCAAATTGATCTTAATGAAAGTTTTTGTACAAGTGCATATATTTATATACATACATCAAAATGTTTACTGACACATAGTTTTAATAGATAATGACCAGAATCAGTCTAAATAAGTTATATAAAGACTAGAGTATATGCTAGTGGTTTTTAAAAATGAGATTGATCTGTTTTGATTTTGAAAATTGTTTATATAGTACAGGTGAAAAAGCAGAGTTTTTTAAATACATGGATAATTTTAAATTTTTCTGAGTGTTACTATATACCTGTTTTCTAGAAAATGGTTTGGAAAGATACATACAAGTCTGTTAACTGTGGTTACTTCTAGAGAGGGATATTATATATTTTTGTGGGCCAGTAGAGTATATTTTCTTTTTATCTTACATAGTCATGCCTCAGTACTCAAATGCTTTGAAACTTCAGATTTGGTAGTCAGTGCATTTTGACATGAAAACGTCATACTGGTGCTCATCATTTGTTTGATACTTGACTTGCAAACTAGAACTTGTCAGTGTCAGTTTTCTCCCTACCCTTTCCAGCCAAAATAATTTGATTAATACGCTATATTTTTGCCTCTCATAACCACTTAACAGTGAGTAGTAAGGTAACATACTCAGTGAGTACTGAGATACTGAGATACCATGGAGTATATATTACTTTATATAAAAAGATGCACATAAATGACACAGTAACACTTGTTGCAGAAGTGAGTTTTGTGGTATCTTTCTCAAGCCACTCAGTTGGTAATGACTGGCTTGTATGTTTACTGTCTCCTTGTATCCGTATTTACAAATTTAGTGCCAGGTGGCAGGAAAGGAACTCGTAGCAAGAAAGGAAAAAAACAGATCATAAATTTAGTCACATTATTTGTTTATTATGTTCAACTGCAAAGCTCCTTTTGAAGGCCACTATAAGGAACACCTTTGCATAATTTAAAACTATGTCAGACTATTTTCATTGAAAAAAATAGTTTCATGTCATGTTCTAGAGTGCTTTTTGTCAGATTAGCTTATTACCTTTCAGGTTTCTCAGGACCATGAAACAATGGCGCAAGTTTTATTCAGCAGGAATTTGAGATTGAATGTAGCTTTAACTTTCTGGAGAAAGAGAAGTATAAGTGAACTTGTAGCTTATTTGGTAAGGTAAGAGTGACCTTTTATGTACTTTATTCAATAAAATAATTTTCAATGTGATATTAAAAGTGCCTCTTCTGTGTTTTTATTGGCTAAAAAAATTAACTTCCTTTGTTTAGCTTCCATAGAGACAACAGTATGTTTTAAATTACATTCTTCACCAATCTAAGAGTAACCGGAATACAGGAAACGATCTGTTTATCAGATTGAGCAAAGCTCTTACTTTTTCTGATTACTTTCCTATAAAATAAAGTGATACTCATGTGGGAAAACTTAACCTTTTAAGAATTCCCTTTTTGCACGGGAATTTTAAGCATTACCTTCCTCATTGTAGTCAAGTCTCTCAAATGCCCTTAGTGAGCCCTTCTTTGTCCACGTTACTTAAAATAAAACAATGCTCCTTATCTTTCTTTGTTGTTTTCTGTGTGGTATTTATCATTTTCAACCTACTCTGTATATTTAACTTGTGTATTGTCTATTTCTTCACCTCCACCTCCACTCTGCTAGAGTGCAAGCCCTGTTTTCTACTGTATTCCCGGTACCTGGCCTATTATAGTCACTGAAATTACTTAGTAAATAATGAATTTCTCAAAAGCAAGGGCTCAGTGCAAAAGCCCTTGGTTCAATCCCTAGTTCTGAAGAAGAAAAAAAGACAGGAAAAAAGGGAAGGGGAGAGAGGAGAGGAAGCAAGGAAGAGCAGGCAGGCAATAAATCGGCTGTCTGAGGTGTGCTATTTTTCTTGTGCTCACAGAATAGAAGACCTTGGCGTTGTGGTAGATTGCCTTCCTGTGCTCACCAATAGGTAAAGTATTTTTCACAAAAAAGAAAGCTTAAAGAAAAACAAATTATAGCCTGTTGATATTTTTATAACTTAGTATTCTTTTTAGTTTACAGGAAGAAAAACAGTATATCTCACTTGGCTGCTGTGTAGATTTATTGCCTCTAGTAAAGTCATTACTTAAAAGCAAATTTGAAGAGTAAGTGCTAACCTAAATTTCAATTCATTTTTCTCCTT